TACTATATAATCCCACTATCAATCCTAGTCTTGTAGAACAGCTGACATCTTTGTCACAGGTAAGTTTATTACTTCTAGAAATGAACTTAACCAAATTGGGATTAATTCCTATGTTGAGAAGTTGTACCTTTCTGCAATTAAAGAGAATTATTCCTAGAATAGAGCACTCAGGATATAACTTCCAGTATTATCAATATACAAGGCATATATATACTCCTGTCACCTGTTAGAACTTGTCTGGAGGAGGATCAGGGGAGACCTTACAGCTCTCTACAACTACATGAAAGGAGGTTGTGGCTGGGTGGAGGTCAGACTCTTCTTCTGCGTAACTAATAATAGGACTAGAGGCAATGGCCTCAAGTTGCACCAGGGTAGGTTCAGGTTGGGCATTAGAAGAAGTGGAGAAGTGTTGGTGGTAGGTGGATGGCTGGACTAGATGATCTTGGAGGTCTTTTCCAATCTTGGTGATCCTATGATTCTCCATCAGGAGAAGGTGAAAAGCAAATGTTCAGCACCTTTCTATTTTTGTTGAAAAAGAAATGTTGCATCATAAAGCTGATGCAATGATAGAATTGTATTCACACCTTACCACAAGCAGGGGAAGAGGCTTTTAGGTTAAAATAATCAATGCAATTCATAGGATCCTTCAGCTAAGTGAAGCCTGAAGATCGCCTGTTGTCACAGAAGAAAGCTTAAGGTTGCTTACATGTTTTGTTAGACTACTAGTGATGGCCATATCCTGGAATGAAGAAGCAACTGAAAAGATCTTCGAAAATCAGATATTAGAGAAGGAGATATAGTTGAAACTACTTAGCTTTAGTTTTAATTTGATTAAAGTACTTTTCAGTCAAGCTCCATAGTTAAATTCTAGTTAATGTACAGTCTACAGTGCTAGAAATACACCAAACACAATCTGTGCTAACTTAAATTTTAAAAAAAGAAAAAAGGCACTTTAGCACAGTGCAGTAGTATTGGGTAATGAATTTTTGTAAGCTTATTTTATTAGTATTGCATGTTTGTCTCATCTTAAGGTAGGCAATATGAAGAGTCTGTCTTCAAGCTAGAAGTTCTCCTTTCTCCCTGCGGTTGTGGAGAATTAAGCTGTTGATTTTTCATCTGTTGCAGAACACAGGTGATCTACAAGGTTCCATAAATACAAATGTCTGCAGTTTAAACTCTGTGATACAAAGAGATGAAGAAGAATCCAAAATGATGGACACAGTATAGCATTGTTAAGACTGAGGCCAAGTACCTTTTTTTTTCTTAACAAAGGAAAGAACATGGCTATTTTCTTGACACTTATTTTTCTGGGTACTGCACTTTATTTTTGGTGTCAGATTTGTTGTTGTTTTTTGTTGGGGGGTGGGTTGAGCGGGGGGCGCGCCCGGGAAATTCAGAAGAACTTGTAATATTGTTTGAAAAATGTGCTGCTAGGTCTTTTGGTTGTCCTTGAAGAGCAGGGTTCTCATATTGCTGAATGTGAAACTGGATGTGTTTTCTGCTACTAACCTTGCCTTTCATAACGTTAGAAATCAAAGTATGATAAAAGAATCTGCACAAATACAATGTTTACAAGAAGCAGTAGATTCTTGTTAGAATCTGCTATTGTCTTATTACAGATGTGGATGTCTTACTCTGAATTGGAGATCACAACTGTATTTACGCTACCTTGTTCACATTATAAGCTCTCAAATTCGGTTATCACTAATAGCAATAAATCAATATCTGGTATCAGTATTTCATATCTGGATGGATTAGGTTAAAACACTGGGTTTCTACCTCTACAAAGGGGATTTAAATGTCACATTGTGCTTCATTAAAACTTGGTTTTGTCCTAAAACATAATCAACACTTGTCTATGTATGAGTGCCAAGCTGTATGCCCTCAGGTTCTCATTTTTCTAAAAAAACTTAAACTATTTTTTTAAAGCCAAGGCACTGCATGGAGAGAAGTATTTGATGAAGGGACAGGGGGAACTTTATGTACAGGGCTAGGAAAATATATAGGTTGCTCTGAAAGTAATGCTTCATACTTACTTCTGTGGAAACTGCAATAGATAAAAGAGCATAATAACACTATTTGAAAGAACGCATTCTTAGCCACAAAATAGCTATTGGAACACTATTTTTTCAACACAGTCTCCACCATGTACATTGTATTTTCACTAGCCTGCACGTAGTCCTTTTAAAAATCAGTACCATTGAAGGTGACTCACAGTTACCATAGCTGAAAAGTGCCTCTCACTGCCTCGCTGTATTTGCATTCACTGTTTGAGCTCCATAAATGTTTAGCAAGTGTTGATGAATATCAGTGGGTGCGGCTTTTTTTTTTTCTTTCTTTTTCTTTCTT